TTATGATGAAATTTGTTTTGTAAAATTCGGGTTGCAAATTTGTCAACAAAAATAGTTCTTTTTTGGCCTTTTTCAATCAATCAAAAATTAAGCCAAATTACCTCAGTGATCAACTATGCAATTTTGGCGTAATTTTTGATTGAATAACAAAAAACCAAAAATGATCAAAATTTGAAGTAAATTTGTCGGCCGCGAAGCAAAACGAAAACAAAGCGCACCATATTGATTCTGCAGAAATTCTAAGCAAGTTTTGTTTTCAATATTATAAACCTAATTTGAACTTAATTTGAGAACAACTTATCTAAAAGTTCAATTGATACATTAGAGATCGGTTGAATAGTATGAAACTTCGAACAAGATCAAGCCTTTGGTCGACTTTGTCAGTAAATTTTGCCTTGATGACTCGCAATTTTTTTTTTAACTCGTCTACACATAAGTTTGGAAATTAATACTTGATTGAATAAGCAAACAAATAAAGAAAAAAAAAACGTTTGCAAAAACTTATATTGGATCTTAGTTTTTATGCATTTTTAATCACAAAGCTCACCTTAAATATGATTTCATTGTCTTTGTATGATCAGACAGAGTTGAACAAAAGCTGGTAATTCATTTATTTTGGAAGCTTTGTTTTGTCCTTAATAGTTAGACGAGAATGAGTTTAAATCCACTGGGTAGTTTTTACCAGGCCAGCGACTCCAGTATAGACGAAATAAGACAAAAGAAGCCAAAAGAGAGCTGGAGCCTGCAAACTCCGGACTTGATCAAAACTGGCACACAACACACTGGAGGTAATGTGATAGAGAGAGCAGAAGACACGTTATTGTTCCACGAGAGTGCAGAAGACACGTTATAAGTTTTTCTATTTTCTGCCGCTCAAAATCAGATTGAAAAAAGACTCAACACAGCGTTTGTCCTTGATGTGTGATTCTGGCGCCAAAGAAGCCATAACTAGAAAACTTCGGATCGTTCAACAACAAATGGATTTTCTAAAATGCATTAAAGGGGACCCTTTTTATAGTCAGGAGTTCCCGAGGGTGAGACTGAAAAAATACTAGCCATGTTTTAATTTTTTATTCCAAAAACCCAAGAAAACAATATAGTTAAGGAAGTTTCAACATGCGTTTCCTTGGTAAAAAAAGTTATTCAGGTTTGCAAAATTTTTGGACAAAAACTAGAAAAGTTTTAAATTTCTTCATGGCAACCGGCAACTCTTTGTATGCAGTTACTTTCATTACATATCGAGAAGAAGGAAGAAGTAACCGTTTTTTTAGCTTTTCTCGCAAACAAACACCTCAGCGTGCAACTAGTTAAAAACATATACAACATCGTTTGTTTGAAAAATATCTTTTTATGCCCTGATTTCATATGCCCTGATTTTTTTTCAGCACTTAAAACAGCAATTTAAGTAAAGAGTGTTACAAAGTTCAAACAAGAAAGATATATGGCAACGCCGTTTAGCTTGAGAACTCAATTGTCTTTTATTACTTTAAAATTGTTTTTCCGACCGTTAAAAATGTAGAAGATTATTGTATCCAGGAGTGTTTTAATTTTTTGTTTCCTTTTCGTTTTTTACTGTACAAAATATAATCAGGTAAACATAATTGAGTACCTATCAGGTACTCAATATAATCACTGGGATGGGTCAAACTGTATATCAAAGTGAGCCTTTTTTAGAGTAATTTGATCCTTTTCAATGAATTTCCAAAGGGTCGTTCCAGTGTCGAGAAAAGCTGGTTTCAAGTTTTTCAGTATCTGTTCAATTTTAGCAAAATGAGCGATCGAGTAAAGTTCTTGATCAATAGTTCTCTAAACTAAAAGCCCTTTATTGCCCAGGAAAGTTTTCAATGAATCTTCAAAACGAGCTTGCCTTTTAGCAAAATCACAATTTTCAGCATAAAAACCTAAACAAAAAATTTGTAATTTTTCTAAAAAACAAGCTCGTTTTGAAAATTTCATCGAAACTTTCCTGGGCAGTAAAGGGTTTTAGGTTGAAAGAATTATTGATCAAGAACTTTACTCGATCGCTAATTTTGCTACAATGTAAACTTTCCCGGCCAATAAAGGTTTTCGGGTTGAAAAATTTTTTAATAACTACTTCTTTTTTGTTTGTCGTTCAAATACTCATGACAAATGTTGTCGACTGTTTTTAATTATCTACTTTAGCGCGTGTTTGAAGAATTTTGTAATCTCAAGACGCACACAAAGTGACACTACTCGAAAAAAAAAACGTTTAGTAGTTTTTACGAAAGTTGCCGGAACATTCTGACCTCTTTGCACGGCAACCGCCAGGTTTACTATACGATTATGTTTATAACATATCAAATGAAAAACAAAACGAAGGAGTAGTAACTTCTTTTTGGGTTTTTCTCTAGCCTAAAAAATACGTTCAGCGTCAATTGGTTTTACTTATACACGGTAACCGTTTGTTTTGAAAAATTAATTTATACATAATTCCCGGATTTTTTCCGGTACTAAGTTTAGCCATACAAGAGAGGAAAGTGAAAACAATTGAGGACAATGTAGATATTTGGCAACAGCTCGCTGTTTAGTTTGACAATGCAAATCTCCTTTATCAGTGGTCGTTACTTTTAAGCCTGGCATAATTCTTTTGCAACAATGAAGGAGAAAAATTGAGCGTGAAAAAAGCAATACAATTCAAACGCTTGCTTTTCAACAGAAAATTGCTGCTAAAATTTTTTAAACCGTTTTTTGGCGCTCTAATAAAAGATTGTCATAAGCTTGAAAGAATCAGCAAACATGGCTAGGTTATGTCGCATCAAAAAACGCACCCTTTTCTTGGCAGTTTTTGCCAAAATTTTATTGGGTGCTTTGGTTATGCACTTTTACGCTAGCTCTATAGGCACTGAAAATTATCTAGCCGAAAGAATTGAGCAACAAGTAGAGCCTGAAATATTAGAGGGCAGCTACAAAGACCAAGAAACAGATCAAAACGAAGACCAAATTGACCACAAGGCCGAAAACGATCAACAAAACGATTACAAACATTCAGAAGAATCCGATCCAAAGCAGATTCAGATGAACAATGACCTAGCTGATTTTGACAATTTAGCCAAACGGAACCTCAGCAAACTTGCCATTTTAATGAGTCACTACATTGTTCGTGATGACACGAGGCCAAAAACTTGTCATTTAAGGAATAACTCACAACTTCACGACCCAAAAGTCAAAAGCAAAACTGAAAACTCGACTTCGATTTTAATCATGCTTTACAACGAGACTGAGAGCCTCATATACGCTGAAGTTGCGAGTATCGTACGAATGACCGAAGCGAGCTTTATCAAAGACATTATCATATTCGTATACGGTCCGGCTGAATTAAGCCAGAGTTTTTTGACATTCTGGGACGATCTGGATTATGAAGAAGAAAAAAGACTAGGTAAGAATCACTTTCAAATATACATCTTGCACCATGCTCATTACAAAATTTCACTATCTCTTCCAAAATTTTTTTTCAATTTTTTGTTGTTTTTAAATAAATTTTAACGTATTTGATGTGAGAAAATGAAGCTCTATTAATCAATTCATTAAAATTTCTTCAGAAAATACATTTGACTCTCAATTGGTAATTGATTATAAACAACACTTAGGTTACAACATCGAACTCGTTCGGAGACCAATGCCAATCCACGAGGCCAGGAATCACGCGGTTGCTGTGGCACAGGGTCAGGTGGCGGTGTTTCTTCACGCGCGGCTGGAAGTTCTGACTGGGTGGCTGGAACCTATTTTGACCTCAATTGTAGTCGATGACAACTGGAACAGGGTGGCGGTTTTTGCGGCAGACGAAACAGGCGAGATTCAATTTCTAACACCAGAAACTATATATAAACGTACAATTCAAATTCAAAAACTCCTATTCAAATCAATAGGAGTGCTGACAACATCAGAAACGTGAATCTGGATTGCATTCGAACAGTTTCATTTTGTTCTCCGCTTGTTGCTTGAGATTGAAGCATTTTTTTTAGCTCCCAGCCCTGAAAAAATTGCATTAACTTTTTTAGCAAACAGACACAGCAAAGGCTCACATGAGTACCTAAGCAGCTCGTATATTCAGGAGCGGATCTAGGATTTTTTTGAGGGGGGGGCGGATTTTCAAAAATTTTTCGAAAATTTTGACGACCTTTTTTTGTTTAGGTCGAACAAATTGATTTTCCGAGCTCTTCTAAAGCACTAAAAGGTCCCTGCTTTTGCCAAATTTTGCCCCTGCGTATATTGGTCCTTTTCCTTGTGAAAGAAAGGCCTCAACCATAAAAAGTTTGAAAATGGTTTCCCCGAAAGTTAACAAAAAAGTATCAATCAGGTATTTTTTTTCTAAGAATTATATGGGGTGAATCTTAGTGAAAAGTCCTACGCTTAAGCAAACATCTAGTTATCTTAGCTTTTCCTGGGTTCTAATTGGATAATATTTTAAAGAACACACCAACAACAAGCAGATGGAACACATTCCTTGGCACCTGCAGACGGTTCCCGAGTGGAGTCTGGTCGAGGTGCAGCTCCACGAACTGGACACTCACACGCGCCAGCTGAGACTCCCAGACCCCCATCCAGACTCCAGTCCCATCCGCACACCCCTCTTCTTGTGGTCCATGTTTGCGATAAGCACTGAGTTCTATAAGAATATCGGAGGATACGAGACTAAAATGAAAAGCACATATTCGCGATCAGGAGAGGACGCTGAGTTCGGTTCGAGGTGAGTGTATTTTACCATTTGCTCCTTTATTCGTTCGAAACACTTAACTGAAAAAAGTTATGAAAGAGGTGTAATTTAATGAGGTGTATAATGATAGTAGTAATGCTGGAGAACAAATCTTAAAGAAGGGCCGAAAGGCTTTGATTCGCGCGTTGGTTTTTTATAGTTCTGCTTGTGTGAAGTAACTGTCAAAGTTGCATTTGAAACACGGTTTGAAAAACAGTGAATCATTTGAATGAAAAATGTCGTTCAGAAAGTGTGTGATTGAAAACAACATATATCATATATCATATCACTAAGACTCGGCAGTTAATGCACATTTGTAATAAATTGTAGTGTTCCAGGGTGTGGAGATGTGGCGGGGAAATTTATGTGATACCCTGTGCCAAAATAACTCAATCCAATTTGCCACTTGGGGAGGATCACAAACTCAAGAAAAAAGACATGGATTATAACCTGATGGTCATGGCCCATAGTTATGGCCTAGAAAACCATGAAATGTTCAAACTGTGGAATCGAGACTACGACCATTCAGTTTTGACGGATGCTTCTGAGCTTCCTATACTGGACAGTAGCAAGTGTCCAAATATGAAAAGTTTCTCGTGGTTTCTGAACGAGATTGTTCCGGAAATGTGGGCTAAAGAATCTCTTTTAGCACTCGGAACAATCCGAGTTGCAAACAGCAGTTTCTGCATCGACAACTTTGAGGGAAACGAGCCGAGGTTGTACAGCTGTCACGGTATGTCTTCACAGCGATTCATGTACTTAAAAGACCGTCTTCAAATTCAAAACGTGTTACGTAAGTGTATGGAAGTTTCCGAAAATGGTCAAGAGGTGGATGGGCAAATTCCGCTTATGCCAGTTCGTTATTGCAATGATGAAGAGGTGTGGCCGTATACACAATGGGAGTATGAGCCAAACAGGGGGAACATAGTTCACAAGGCGACTAGAAAGTGTCTCACCGTTGATGGAGAGCTTTCTTTAGGGACTAAATTAGTAATCAAACCTTGCGAGGAAGAAAAACACTCACAAAACAAACAGAGTTGGCATCTGGAGTTCATTTAGCACTAATAGGTTAACCTATTCAAGTCGTTGGTTCTTAATAAACTCGACCAGTTTGTTAGATCAAATAAAAATCTCCAATTCATAACTACTGCTGTGATTTATACCTTTTTTGTTAACGGTGTCGGGCATTTTTTAAAAGTAGGAAAATCATAATTTTGACAATGGAAAATGTATCATTCATGATAGTGGCTGGCCGATTATTGTTATCGCCGCTGGAAGCAATCAAAAGATTATACTTAATAGAGACAGTGCCAAAAAAACTTTTCAGCTGTAATTTTATCAGAACTCGCCGGTATATCCAGTGGCGGATTTAGGATTTTCTCGAGGGGGGGGGGTGCGAATTTTAAAAAAAAATTCGAAATTTTTGTCGACCTGTTATTAGGTCGACCAAATTGATTTTTCGAGCTCTCCCAGAGCACTAAAAAGTCCCTGTTTTGGCCAAATTTACTGCGCCGCAAGCAAAATTTTGAAAAAACAGGCCAAAGAATTTTTTGGCACTTTATCGAAAATTTTGACCAAAAAATTGCGTTTTTTCGGCGCGCTTCCCCCCTCAAAATTAATATTTATTGGCGCCGAAGGCGCCTTCAGAAAATGTTAGGGTCCGTCATCAAAAATGGATATTTCAAAATAGTACAAAGGGTCGGCAGGGGGTCAAATCCCTGAGGGAAGCATCCCCCCCCCCCTGAGGGGGGCATCCGCCCCTTTATATCCAACTTGCCTAATTTTTCAAATTCGTATTTTTTTAATGTCGTGATCAAGAGGTACTCAAGGCGTGAAATTAGGTTTCAATTTATGAAGAAATGCACCCTATTCTTTTTTAATTGTCGAAAACAAACTTCACAATATAAATAAATCTGACCGGCTAATTTTTTCGAGTCTTCTAAAAGATTGGTCAGCTAAAAAAAAACAGTTCTGCTAAAATCCCTAACACCAATTGTCTTAATTGGGGAAGCTTAACCCAAGACTGAGCGCCTTTTTAAATCTGTCAATCATTCATGCATCAGTTCATTACTTTGGTCAGCCAAAAGACTCATTTTTCAGTTTTAATTTTGAAAGATTGGTCTGCTAAACAATCGGACCCGATTCATTAAGTCATTGCGCCACACCTGAAAACTTAAACAAAATAAGGGTCGGCGCATTTTGACAGAGAAACCTACGACAGAGAAACTTCTTTTGCGTTTTAGGAAATCCAAGAAAAATTTATTTTTGAAGTGTTTTTAAAAACAATTTAGCTTCATATTTTTTATTAATCTTAAAAAAGACCTGATCAAAATATGGCGTTTCCACATGCCCTGGAAACATTGACAAAATTGTGAAAGCGAGACATAAAAATGAAAATCGAAACATAAACTGTTAAAACTAAATTTCGAATATGAACAAAGATGCTCGTATGAAAGGCAAAGCCCTGAAGTTTCCGACAGACTTTTAAGGTTTATGGAGCAGTAATTACCTTAAAAAAATTAAATGTAAAAAAATAAAATGAATTTTTTTTCTTAAATTTGAAAATCATCCACCCATACGCCATAATAAGTACAAAAGGATGAATTTTCATCGGGGTAACAAAACAATTATGGAAAAAAGCTTCTTTCAACCAATTTGGAACAATTTCTGAGACGGATTAAATCTCCGCTGACGCGTTGATAGCTAAAAGGAACACACAGTATTGCCCATTTTAATTGATAACCGATGTTAATGAAACAACAAAACTGCTCGTAAATCTGGGCAAAGCCTTGAATATTCCGACTGCACTTAAAGTCATTTGATATTTTTTGCTGACTAATTGATAAAATTGTTTAGAAAAAAAAGAAGTTTTTGTTTCAATTTTTCTTCTTTTTATCTCTCCGCATGCTATTGTAATTTACAAAAGGTTTGTATAGCGCCTCGTATTGTGATAATAGGACTAAATAGCTGGCCTCAATTTTTTTGGAATGCATTTTTTCGTTTCTTTTGCGTGTTACAAATACGCAATATATTGCACTTTAATTATCCCAAGTTGGTGAAATTAGCCATTTTCAAACGCCAGTAACTTCAGAAAAATGAACAGAGTTGAAATAATTTTTTGAATTTGAACTTAGGATAACAATATATCTCGGATGGTGTAAAAAGTTCCGTCAAAAAACGCTCAGTGAACAAGTCGATATTGATATTGACTTAATAAAAAACCACACCAAGCATAAATATTCCACAATCTCTTCAAAAGTCGGAACAAAAATTCCTAAAGTGTATCAGACAAAATTTCCAATTAAGGTCATTCAAAAATTCTCAAATCGTGTCATAATGTTGACAGTGAAACAAATGACTCAAAACAAATTTTTATTTCCGTTTTTGAATTGTTCATTTTATTTTTTGTGAAAAAACTGCCTATAAGTCACAAACGGGAATCAAATTTTCCAAAGAACGTAACTTTTTTTGCAGTTGAACAATTTTCGTCTCCGACTTTTGAAAATGGGGAGAAGCGTTGTTTTCACCTGTGCTTTCGTATTTTTTTCTTTGTTTCTTCACGCAAAATCTTGTACCACAAAATCTTGAGTGATAAATTATACTAAAGTTTGAACGATATTAGAAAATTATCTAATCGAGTAACTTTCGTTTTTAAAAATTGTTTGCTTAAGCTCAGAAAGTTTCCACTAAAATGAAAACCATTTTTAATAGCTTCATTTAGAGCCTCCTTGTCGACAAAAAATTTCAAAAAAAAGTATCATAAAGACAGTGCAAAAAAACTTATTACAAAATGGTTTAATTTTTTTCTCATTTTTAGTTTGATGTTCATGTTTTGAAAAGAACGTTTGGCGATTAAAATTCTACACGCATCTGTATAGTCATTACTCCACACTACGCTCAAAAACTACACTAAATTAAAGAAAAGAAGAAAAAAATTGTTTCAAACTTTTTCATGTGTCTGGTCGGAACCTTCTGTGCTACTTGCACAGAAAGCAATTACCCTTGTTTTATTTGGGCGCTGTTGCATTTTAAACTAATTTTTGTTTAAATAGTATCCTATAACAAAGAACATCCTACATTAGAAACATCTTATTTAATATTGAGTTGTGTGGTTTCAGCTATGTAAATGTTTTGTTTATCGATAGGCAAAAACTGCTCACACGAAAAAACTTGTTCCAATACAAATTTCAAACATAAATCAAAAACCTACTATTTCCAAATTCTTTTTTCTGTGAAAACTCAGGGAAACTTACTTGTCTTTTAGTAAGTTTCCCTCATTTTTAGGACAAAAGCATTATATTGTCGTTTTGGGATAAAGAGTTATCTTAAAGTCAACTGTAAGTCTAACATTTTATGCTGCTGAGATTGGAACTGGTCTGGATGTTTATGGAGAACAACTCCTTTCAAGAATACTGTTCTGCCAAAACGCCCGGCGCTAAAGATGCATTAATTGTGAGAAATATATCAAAAAACGTTGTGCTTACCTGATACCTTATTTAAAATCAGAAGCTAGTGCAAATTTTTGCGTCAAACATGGCAATGTTATCCGAGTAACTTCAAAAACATTACGCTGCAGCAATAAAAACTATACAGAGAGCGGATTCAAGAATTAATCCTATTTTTGATCGAAAATATCATTCGGGATGATGATTGGCGTAATTATTACTCAAAGCTAATACAACTGTTACTTTTAAGTAACTTCCCGCAATGAGATTCCGTTGATAGAAATCAATTATATTTGATTTCAGGGTCTGTGGCTATAAAATTCTAAAATATACGATTATAATGAATTAAAAGTCAATTATAAAACAACCCGTACCTCTTTTTTCAGAAAAAATTTCTAAATTTCAGATCTAAAATTTAAAGGGTCTGTCGCTATAAAATTCAAAACATACGATTTTAATAAATTAAAAGTCTTTTATAAAAGAACCCGTACCTCTTTTTAGTCAGAAAAACTATCTAAATTTCAGATCTGAAATGTGTTGTAAAATCTAAAGTAAGGCTTGGATGCTTTAAGAATCTGTAAGTTCAGATCTGAAATTTTGTTTTTCTTGGTTAATTCAGATCTGAAAAATCTATTTCAGATCTTATTTCAGAGCTGAAATTTAGTTTTTATTGGTCATTTCAGATCTGAAAAATTAATGATTCTGACACAATTTTTGCTATTTTTGATACTTTAGTATTCGATAGCTTCTGCTAGCTAATAGCAGTTTCTCAGCAAAATCTTAAATCGGAGACTGCCAAAAAATGTATCCTCAGGCATAAAATAAAAATTGGAAACGCATCAGTAGCGCATGGAAACCAAAAATTAGACAGGTCTTCTAACAGTTTTTGAAAAGTTTTTAACACAATTGAACAAAAAAATTAGTAAAAAAACAGTTTGTGAAATATTCGGAAGTTTTTTTTACTAATCTGCTGATTAAAATAAACATAATTGTGTATTGCAGAAACATAAAAAAACTCAATTGTTTGCTCGAAATGCACAAACTATACTTCAACAAAAGGTGTCTCAGATCTAATTTTAGATCTGAAATTTTGTTTTTCAAAGTTGTTTCAGATCTGAAAATTTCTATTTCAGATCTGCAATTTTCAATATCTCATCAAGATTTGAAATAAAAAGTATCAGATCTGAGAATCAACTTATGTAAGATATAAAGGATTTCAGATCTAAGAATCAGCATATGTAAGAAATAAAGAATTTCAAATCTTGCACAGAAAGTCCCTTGGGTACGTGAAATAAAGTAGAAATCAGTTTAATCCATTATAAAGGATTATAATAGATTTTTATGAGTAAGAGCGTAAATTTTCCAAAGACCTAAAGCAAACTTTTAAGACTTGATCGTTGCAAAATGTGTTTTGCATTTGGCTACAGCAAAAAGTTGTATTGTTTTCTACTTTTCTTTTTTCTACTTATCTCCCCTTCCCTTTGAAAACTTGAACTAACTCCCCCTATTCTTAGTTCCTTCTTTTGCAACCACCTCCCATTCCCCACCTCTAGACGGAGGGTTGGGTAGGGGGGGTTGAGGAAAGTGTGGTGGGGCAAGTTGGGGTAGGGTAAGTGGGGGTAGGATAAGTGGGGGTGGGGTAGATTGGAGTGGGGTGGGGGAGGGGATAGGTGGAGTGTGGGTAGGTGTGCTGATAAACGTGGGGAGAGGTGGGTGTAAGTTTTAGCGTGTTTATCTTGGATGTTAGAACAAAAAAATCTTGGGCTTAAATAATGATTGCAAGTTTTCCATCCTGATAGTTTGTTTCTGAAGCATAGCACCTAAGTAAAAGTTTTTTAGACGTTTCTGTTGTGCG